TGGAGGGGAGGTGTCCTTCTACAACTGTGAGGACAGGAGTCTCCTCTGCACCCACAAAGACACTTTTTCTGAAAAGCTCTTACCGTACTTTTGTATCGGAAAGGCCGGCGAAAGTAAAACGCACGATATTAGAATCAGTAAAATTTCTCCTTGAGAGGTACAGAGTGTAAGTAGGCTTTGATTGTTAACATATTAAAATGTGATAAATATGGATTAGGACACAGATAATGTATGCTAAATAGGAATATTTATCTGTTACGGATACAAGGTAAAAATATTAAACATAGAAAAGAAGTACGTAACATTACATTTAGGAATCATAACATAAAATGTTACAAAAAAGTAACATTTTATATAAAATTTATATATAGATGAAATTATTACAAATGAAGCAGCTCAATACTGATCTGTTTTTCAATATGCTAAAATTATTTGGCAACTGACTACTCAGGTTTATGTCTGATTTTTACTTTTGGAAATGTTTGATTTTGACCTTTCTTTCTGCATTAACTTGTTATGAGAACTTACCTGACATGCTAATCTCATTATATGATTGTTTTTAGGTTTATGATTACTTTCTTTGCAATAGTCTATTTAATAGTTTTAGGGATTATGATTGAAAGATGAAGTGTAATCAGGGATTCAGTTTGAATCTAATATCAAGCTTTAAAGATGTGTATGCTTTCTTATATGTGGGAGCAAATTTTGGAGTTTGTATGACATATGTATTTTAGCCTGTTAAAGGTAAAGTATCTCTTTTATGTTTGTCAGACAGTCCTCTGTACAGTAAGTTTGTTCCCTGATAACTATTTGCCAACTCTTAAAGAAGTAAATATTTAAAGTTTATTAAAGGTTTAATGTTTAGATTTATTCAAATTAATTTAAGATGACAAAACATTTTCCCTAGGTGGCTAAATAATTCACTACAGGTGCAGACAAAAATACTCTATTTTGTTTTTAAAATGAGTTTTGCTGTGAATCTGCAGAGAGCTAAATATGTTTAAAGTCCCTTTATAAATTCTACCTTTAAATTAGTTATTTCCTACACTAAAAATGCATCAGCTAATTGTGTATGATTTGATTTTGTTTTATTGGTTTTCCTTCTTTGAAGCAATTTTTTTTTTTTTTGCTTTTTAATTGCTTAGTTTATTACATATATTATTGTTATGTATCAATTTGTTATTTTTATTAAGTTTTAATGCTACATTTTAAAAGAATAAAAAATATATATTGGTTTTAATTTAGCTGGGTTTATTATTTTCTGTGAATGTTGATTTTTAATGTGTTATTTTAAATCTCTTTTACTTGACATTTACTTAACTTGTACGCCCCCTATTGGGTGATATTAGACACTACAGTTTGTAAGGGTTTGAACTGCTGGGATGTTTTAAACAATAAAAGCATGACCTGTGGTCAATTGTGTTTTTCTAGTTTGTTGTGCTTGGTTATTATAATAAACTCGATCAGTCACTGATAGGTAAGCTTCCTTTTTGTATAGTTTTTTTTATAAATTCAATCTCCATTGAAATAACTCCAGCAAGGAGATCAATTTCTTATAATAGGACAAATAGAAACATTACCAATAATTTTCGGGGGTTTCTTAAAGTTCAGCTGATGAAATTCTAAGAAATGTAAGTAAATGTCTTTTAGTCAAATATATTGGTCATTCATTTATCTCATTTCAAATAGGCATATGTATTGTTTATATGTTTTTACTTGTAAGTGCATTCCATTAATAATAACACTTTAGCTTTTTTTTACTGCATAACCCTCATTATTTCTGTTTGTTTTATGTTAGACAGAAACTGCTTCTATAAGAAATTTTCTAATTTATTCATACTCCAATAGTTCCTAAAATAAATTATATATTTCAGATATATCATAGTTGTTATGCATGCTCCTTTGATTTCACTGAAAACAGTAAAAGAACATATCGGTCACTATGGGTAACATGCTTATGAATTTGCAAAGAAAGCACAATGAGAAATGTTGTAGACATGAAACTAAAAAATAGCAAAATAAAGAGACATAACAAGTATAGAAGTGTTGAAAAAGATAAGACTAAAAGAAAGGGGGTGTACTATTTTTGAATACTGAGGAAGGATTAATTTTTAGATAAAAAGAAATAGACAGATCAGATAGTGGGAAATGCCATTTTAAGAGTACATTTTATCATTTGGTAATAATAATGAATAAGCATCATGCTATTAAATAATAATCCTAATTGTATGGCACTTTTCAAGATAACCAATGTTGCCTTACATCTCTGTTGGACAATGTTTAACCACCCCATGCATGACGCTGTTGCAGGACTGGAGAGCTGCTTCAGTGACAGACTGCTGCACCCTAAATGCACTAGGAAGCGTTATCACAGCATTCCTCCCAGCAGCTGTAAGACCCTATTACCACCCCTGTTCCCAACAATCTCAATAAGTTGTGACATTCATGCTGATTTTGCACATTTTCTACCTTAGTCAGTAAAATAACAGGCTGCTGTCATTTTGCACATCTTGGATGTTGCTGCTGTTTTCAAATGTCCATTAGTGTAAAAATTTCCATAGCCGTATATTGGTTATTTGTTCTACATTTGCACAGTATTTATATTGTTAAAACACTTTACAGTACAGTATTTTATTGTTTGTCTTTTAATTCTCAACTCGTTCTAAAATATTTTTGCTGCTGCGAACACCAGAATTTCCCAATATTCTATTTTATAGCAAAAGAACAGCAGAAAGGTCAGGATAAGGAGGGAAGATGTGGTTGGTTTTTACAAGAAGAAAAAGTAGAAAATGTATTTTTAGATGAATCATTATTAGAAGACCCTGATGCTGTTCTTCATTTACCTCTAGTTCAGTCAAAATTGATCCATATGATTAAAAAGAACCGAGAACATATATTTAATTTTTTGGCAGAATCTACCCCCCTTTTGCACTAAATGGTGTCATTTTTTATATGGACCATCTTCCCCAGCCTGTTTCTTATATTATTATTATCCTCCTGCTGTTGGGTAAATATCATCTGTGCTAAATGGAGAAATGCTAAACCTTCCTTTCAGTGGTTTATTAGCGACTTTAAAACCTTTTTTCTTTTCTTAAAAAGATTTTTTTTTTTAATGACAAATATGCCAAAAAATTGAGACTTGATTTCTCCCATCATCTGCTTTTCTAGGTACGTTCACCTTTTTGTTTTTATTATTTCTATGGTTCTCTCTATGTTCTACTTAAATGTTTGCTGAGATAAATCCCCTGATAGTTGTCTTACTTTTTTGTTTTTCTTTTATTGTAATTGATCTTTATCTGTTCATGTACACCTTTGCTATCCTCTCTGAGAGTTTTTTTTTTCTTTCATGTAAATGTTTTTGACTCAATAATAATAAAAAACTTAAAATAAAAAAAGTATTCAGGTGTAATCCAAAAGTAAAAGAAGTAAAATATAAAATAATAAATAGTTACTATCCAACAGCA